TGTGTGGAAGATAACGAACTAGAATAATTTCAACACTTTCTTCTTGACTGTGTCGCTCTTGCATAATAAAGACTCAAATGCCTTATAATATATCTCACTTCTCTAAACATCTGAGAAATAGTTGGTACAGAAATAAAATTAACAAACAGATTTATTACCAGTTTCTTTCCATATTTTATCCAAGTTTAAGTTCGAGCTTTAAGCAGCTAGAAATGTTGTGAATTTCTAGGTACAAAGGATTTTTTTTCAAATAAAAATTAGTTCTGAGACAATAATTTCAAATCGTCCAAAGTGGAGTCTATTGAGGTTTTTGCTGGAAGAAATGAAGCACCTTTTAAATCTGGTAAAACACCTTCTTTGGTTAACGCACCGTAAACATAAACACCCAATCAAACATATATATATGGACTTTTAAGGTTATTAAAGCAATTGTGTTCATGAATCTGCAAAAAAATGAGTTCACTTTTTCAATTTCATTTAGCAAAGATTGTGCAAGATGTTTTGGTATTTAAACTTAAAGCGCTTTATCGCTTGCCAAAAGCATGTGGAATATACAGCGCATGGATTTTAAGAGTTCTCGGAATGTGAAAGCAATATTTGCTAAATTTTAGTTAAATATGCCTTGCTTATAATTATGTTTAGGTAAACAATATTCCACTGTATGTTTCCAACTTGTCGGAAAAGCTTTAATTAAAACCAAAGTAACTATACAATATATCGCAATAAGGTAACTAAAAGAATGTGCAACAACAGCAAATTAAAATCCACCATCCACAGTTGGAACAAAAGCAACCGCCGTATGCCACATAAAATCTTACCAACAACAGTGTAGTGAGTGTAGGAGTTCATGCACCATATTCTCTGTGTCCAGTACATAGGCATGAGTGTTTGAGTTCGGTGAGTTAGGTTACATTGCAGACGACTACTCATCAACTTGGGGCAGGTGAACTTCATTACAAACAAATTATGTGTAAACATTACTACACATACTCATTCATATTATGTGTCATTTGTGGCACATTCATGCACATACAAGAGCAGTGTTTATCATGTCCAAGCAGTGTCCATACTTTTGCTTGCACACTCTGAAACTTTTGGTGCGCTGCGAAGGCATCGAATCAAATTCACCGACATCCTTAACAAAACACAAAACTAAACACTGAAATTACCGCCGTTTTGTAAAAGAACCTTAGCTGCAAACTATGTACATACATATCTACATATGTGGCACATACTTCCATTGCGGCACAATAATAACAGTCATACAGTTTCATTTAACAATGCCCTGTTTCAGATATTTGTGCTGTGGTTGAAGCTCCATAGCTCTTGGAACTGATTGTAGGTGAAATGGAAGGAAAAGAACTAAGTACAGTGGTCGCACGAAATAAAAGAATGCGGGAAAATCGAATTTGGATTTCCGAGTCGAAGTATTTGCATCAATCTGATCGAAATGCTGCCGATAGCAACAAGTTCTACTATCCTTCAGATGTTCGAAATATATCTGTGGTCTGTGTTTCTCGCTGCAGGATTGTTGAAGCGATCAGTGCTGAGTCATCAATATGGAACTGTGCATGCATTACTGGAATCTCTTTAATCGGTCACGATATTGAGTTCCTTTAGTGGGATGGAGCCAGTGGTGATCCGAGTAAACGCAAAATATTCTGAAGACTCCGAGGTCAATGCAATAACTATTGGCCTTTGGAAAAATCCCTTTAGTAACTTTTAGCAATTAGATAGTTAAAGAATAGGTATTACTTACGGTTTCAAATTTTAACAAAACTTTGGCTTAAGTCTCTGAGAAAGCAGTTCCGAAATCGTAGAGTGAAATAAAGAAAAGGATCAAAGCCAAAGCGTTTTCGAGCATTTTTCAACCAGAAATCTAAAAATTCTCAATTAGTAGCTTTTAGAAGGTGGTCGAAACTTAAGAAATTGTAAAAAATTATTAAACGTCTGGCAGTTTTACTTGCAAGAGTTGTCGAGCTCCGAGCCCGCTTCAGAACTTACTCAGAATGGGGAAAACTCACGAAATATAGTACTTACACTCCAAAAGCTCAAGTCCTTAATAACAGCGCTGCTATTGGAGGGGATTTTTTTTCCCAAAAAGAAGCCGCATTTCTGAGAATTACATCTGCTGCTACTTTAATGGCTACCACTTCTGATGGAAAAACGACCAGGTGGACCTCAAAGTTCATGATTTGATGATTGAAACAATATGTTACTGATATAAGGTTTCTATTTGGTTGCTAAGCCGTCGGGAATTCGGAGAGTTTAGACATACTGAACGGTAATTAATTATGGTCGGTCGATCTTAATAGTATACAATTCTGAAACATAAGTAAGAAATATTTAATTGGAAAATTATGTGAAACTCTGCCTTCCAAATTAAGACTGTGGTAATCTCATTAACTACAAGCGCTTTAATCAATACATTGAAATGCTTTGAGTTTCGTACTATAGAAATCAGAAAAATCTCAGCATCATGAACTCTTTTTCGATAAGATCCCAATTTTAACACAACTTGTTCCACTGTACCAAACTTGTTCTCAACCAAACCTGCACTGTACCTATGTATGTCAGCATGCTCGGCTATTGTGGCGTTCTTGTGATATAGAATGGCAAATTAAAAACAAAAATGAGAAAACCATACACAGCAGCAGGTGTTTCATTTCATTTCGTACGATTTCCAACATAGACTATCACTACAGTAGAACAGTCAGTCTTCAAGCACCAGCTAGTGAATTCAACATTAAGCTAACAAAGGCTGAATGAGTGACTGACTGGTTGACTCTACGAGTCTAGGCTGCCTGCTTGCCCAGCTGCCCGGCTGTCTGCCCGGTTATAAGCCCAGTCTGTCGGCAAAGCTCGGTATGTAGCACGTCCAACTAGTAAGATAAATGGGTGGGCGGTCTTGGTGGTTGCCAACTTGGTTCACTAGCTGCCTGCTTGGCTAGTTGTGCTAACAACAACAAGAACAACAACAACGACAACCAATCAAGCAGGTTTACAAGCGTTCACACATTACTGCTGGAACAATGCAGCTGTGCGGGCGCTCATGTCGCTGGATAAAGCTCGATCCGTGGATAGTGTTGGCGCTGCGTTGGTGTGGCATGTTAGAGCCGGCGCATATAGTTTCATGCTTTGCGCACGTTAGTTTAGGGAATTGCAAATAAATATTTCATCTGAAGTTGTAGATTATTATATGCTGCATGCAGCAGAAGAAGAGGGGAAAAAAAGAATCAGCAGAAAATTAGCAGCAAAATGCAACAGGATAAATGGCCAAGTGGAGTGTGATTGCATGAGCGACTACAACTAAATACAACCCACACATATTCGTTTGCCGTTTTTAGCAGCAAATACTACAGTAAATTTCTCACGGGACTTGCAAGCAAGCAGCACACAGCAACAGCTGTGTAACACCGCCGGTTACTCTCCACATTCCATCATTGCCCGGCATCGCGGGCCCAGCGAGTTGGATTTGAATTACTTGTGTGCAATTTCACGCATCTCCGCTGGGTCGTCGACTCAAATCAGACACAATTTTAACTACTCTAACATATATTACAAACAATAACGGTGTATTTAAGCTGTAGGTAAACCCAACTGTGGTATGCAGCCAATGCATACAAGTATTGTTATAAAAATACTCGAATATTACTGTTGAAATAACAGTAGCCATTTATATGGAAGTTGGTTTCAATGCAACTACTAAAATTTTGATCCATTGGTTTTAAAACAATCTACAATTCACGTTCCTTTTAAAGCAACTGGTGTTACTACTGTACTACTGTAGTTGGTCCTTCGTACAATCACGAGTCCTGCTGTTTCTATTCTATAAAGAGCGCTATTAGGGCAGTAATTCCGTTGGAAAACATCGTCCATTTCAATCGCTTATTTAGGTGATTGTTTTTAAAAAAAAGTACCACGTAAAGTCGGGTTCAGATACGCTTATGAAACCACGCACCGTCCATGAAACACCAAGATAGTAATCCCATTCAAGAGCATCGCCGGTTTTATTCGCATACCTGAAGCATCGTCTGTACAAAAAACTATCGCGTGAGTCCTGATCAAGCTTCACTTATGAGTATCGAACGGGGTTCCTTATTTCAGAAGGACATTTTCAGTCCAAAGTCATCACAGAAATTTGAGCAAAGAACTTTATACATTCATGTAGATATTATCAGTAGTTTTGTTCAAGGATGATAGAAAGCCAAGCTTATATCAAACCAATCTCAAAGAGACAATGGTCTATTGGAAAATACAGAACACGAAATTATGCCTCTTGATTGGACTTTGAATCGAATGGAATGAAGTATAAGCCCCCAACCTGTATCGAATTCCGCTGAAATCGCTTTTTCAATATCGCATACCAATATCAAAGCGGTCGAATCTAATAATTCTGAAATATATTCTATGTACTAAAAATACATCTTTCGTCAAATACTTCAAAATACTAGAGTAAAACAGATCGACATCCACATTTTACGACTTAAAACCCTAAAAATTTGTGGAACATCCTCAGAGAATTTATAAGGAATTATACATATATGCAAAGAAAATATGTTCAACGAAACTAAAAGGAAAGCTTCAGTGGAACTAAAGCATAGAAAATTAAAACTTATCTAGTTAGGTCATAGGGTTTGAATAGATCCAGACTCTCTAAAAGAAATAAAGGAAGATAATGTCTTAGAGTTTTGGTAACGCTGCCAAAGTGACAGTTTTTGGCCGGATACATATCTAGGTCCATTCCAATTTCGAAAATCTGACTGTCGTGGGCCAAATAAAGGAAAATGTTTTAAACATTTCTGATCATGAGATCATTTTAGATAATGAGTATCGGAAGATGCTATTAAAAACTTTTACAGACCTATCATATATGACCATGACGCTTAGCGCCTGTAAATAACTAGAAAATACCGGAATTCTTAACTATTTCGGCATTTACAAAGAAGGCCGTTCTTCACAATATGTTCCGTTCACTCTGAAATTTACACTTAGAAGACTTGTATTCAACATTCTTTTATTTATTTTGCATCTGAAAATCCTCACTTTTTATTAACATTATAGTTTCTGAAATAAAAAGCGGCCACCTGTTCCTGCATGCGACGCTTCAACTGTTCACGTTTTAGCAACTCCAACAAAGGGTTCGAATTGTCAGGTTGACGCGACTGCTCTAATAGAGCCTGCGCCAAGAGGCGTTCGTCATTTGTAAGCGTGTGTGGCAAATTGCTAAAAACGGCTTCGGTTTCAGCAGATGAGCCGTCACTGGATGGTTGGAGCTGTTGTACATTTTCCGAGCGCAAATCTTTGATGAAATCTGGTGCATTCTCTTCAGCCTCTACGAACTCCATTACTTCACCTGGCAATGCAACACCACGTGGGTAGGTATAATTGGAAGCGGTGTAATAATGATAGCTCGGATAATTTGTTGGATTGATAATGATATACGAAGGTGAGCTGACGGCAGCGGCATACCGTTGATAAGGTTGCTGATATGCTAGCTGATGTGGCGCTTGACTGGCGTATGCAAAAAGATTAGGGAACGTCTGATACGCGGGCTGCTTATGCTCCAAAGCGACGCTGCCATGTAACGAAGTAGGTTTGTGTTCTTGAATAGTTGGATAAGCGGCATAAAATGCGGGCATCTTTGTTTGTTCGACTGAAGGATTGCCTAACGGATAGCTCGTCACATAGTACGGTTTGGATTGTTCGGCGTGGGCTTGCAAGCCCGTTAATGCTTCGAATGCGGCTTGCGTAAATGCTGGTTGATTTTTCAAAGCATACGGTATATAGATGGGTTTCACATCGACGAGTTTATCTTTGCTTTGCGTAATGGGGCGCGGCTGCTGTGTCACGTCTGTTTTTGGTAGTAAAGCAAACTCAACATGAAGCGGTTGCAATGGATAGTGCGTTTGTCTTTCGCCTTGCAGCGTTAACTTCTCCTTCTGTGAGAGGTAGGGATATTGTGGCTTTAGTCCAGTCGCCGGGTTTGTGGTCTTCGTTTGGCGTGTGAGATCTAAAATCGCCTTAAGTGCTGCGAATTACGAAAGTTTTGAGCAAAAATTAATTTTTTCAAAATATATAGCAAACATATGATTACCATTTTCATCAATATAACGCGACTCCTTCACCTCCTCAGCCACCAGCTCGTTGAGTAGGACGCTTAAAGTAACTAGTGTCAGCGCAAACTTCATCTCGTTTTACTTAACGTCTTTTGAGCTGCCAGCGTTTGATGTTTAGGTTTTTATATTAAAATTTCTAGTGAAATATTCATTTCAAAGAAAGTCCGCTACACCAAATTGGAAAGTATGCTTAATTTACCAATAATTTTTTCACAGAGAGGTTGAGCTATCCACAAATAGTTGTTGTAAAAATGTTGATGTGCAAGGTTGTTGGCTTGTGATGCTGCTGAGGGCAATAAATCTCACGGCAGAATATTATCTGTGGCTATTTTAAAAAATTTGCACTTTATTACCGATCATAAAAGCACCAATTTCGATCCACATCTCAACTTTTGTTGGATTTTTCGCTGCTGCTCATCTCTTCTTCGCTGTTTTTATTGCCGCTATTTACTTGGTGGTCGCTATATTTTAATTACAGCTAATGAAGACTTTGTGCGTAGTTAAAGAGCTTTAGCACTCACGCCATATAACTTTATATTCACAATAATTTAGAAGACTACATAGCAATAGGTTTGTAATGGGTTGTCCAGATGCATATTTCTTCAATATTTATACGCGATCTAGTCTCTCAGTTTTAGAGATATCGATGTGACATTTTTCATAAACCCTTTTCTATCCAAAATCTGCTCATTTGTTGGAACCGCTGACATCGGACCTCTAAAGCATATAGCTGCCATACAAACTGAACAATCGGAATCAAGTGCTTGTATCGAAAACTTATTCATTTGACGAGATATCTTCATCAAATTTGGTAGGCATTATTACTCAAAGTAGCGACAAAATATTCAAATAAATTGATCAAATCGGACCTCTATAGAATATAAATATTTTACAAACTGAACGATCGGAATCAAGTTCATGTAAGGATTCTTGTTTTGATGAATTTTAGATGAAGCTCACAAATTCCTTAAAGACCAAGTAGAAAGAACCTTTTCCTTGTCCACAAGCTTACAAAACCTATAATTTTTAATTCAAACTGGTTGTAATAGAAAGATCCGAAAAAATGGACACCACCAAAATTGCGTGATTCAGCTATCTAAGCTAGGTAATTTAGAAAGTATAGTTAAATAAAAACTAAGAAAAAATCGTTGTTCCGTATCTACCACATTTTTATTATAACCATAAAAAAATTTTCCTAATATAGTATAATGATGGTCAGCATTACAGATATCATTACCATTACTATTCTACTATCCCATTAACATAACATATATCATTACCATTATCAATTAATACATAATGCCTTAACCTTATATGCTACCATGAGAATTATCATTAGAAACACTATTACCATTGTAATTACCATTATAACTCTACTATTATTTCCATTGAAAATAAAGCACCATTACCTAATCTGGTTTCATGACAATTGCCACTAGGAATACCACTACCATTTGAATTACCATTACTACTGTAATATCATTACCATTAAATATATAATACCAATACTTAATCTGGTATCATTTCAATTAGCATTACAAATATCATTACCATTACTATTCAAATATTATTACCAATTAAAATATGATACCTTTACCTAATTTTTTCTCATTAACATTACTATTATAATTAACATTACAAATATCGTAACCTCTATTACCAAATCTGCACCAGTATCACACACCACCCAAAAATAAATACTTTAGCGCAAAGCTTTAACCTTCATTGTGAAAAAAATAAAATCTCTAATAATCACATTTCTTTTAGTATCTTCTGGTATCTACTAATTAAAATTGAATAGATTTTTACCACCCTGTATACAATACACACTCTTTTTTCTTAGCATTAGCTTATTTTTAATTTGTGCACATTTTTCTTGCTCTACTTTTACGCACTCATTTTAACGATCGCTGTTTTTTATTACACCCATAATTTCGATCTTCTGCTGTTACTTGATCGCTTACGAGCTCTAAGCAGCATACTTGATACGAGGAGATCGTAAACGATTTTTGCGGGACATTAAAAAATTTGCAGTTTATTACAGTTCTGTTGATTATTAATTTTTTTTTTCAATGTAGTAGAAACCAGACTGGTTTATTAGCAACAGCTGATTAGCTTGCTGACACAGTTACATGTGAAGATGAGCTATTTTTAAATTATCTTATGAGATCATTAGCATTTAAAGGCATTTAATTAAACTGTTAACTGAAGACATTTGCGGTTAAGAGTGCGTGATTACTCTAGTGTTTTTAAATGAAATTATAGAAATATTATTATTGCACTACTTGTTAATTAGAGTAATTTAGACGGATTTCAAGTTAAAACTAAAAAAATATACCAATTTTTGAATGAATTTTTTTTTTGCAGGCAACTTAAAAATTTATTGCATCATTAGCAATTTGTAAATTAGGTAAGTTCAAGAACGCGATATAATTTTATAACTACATACATATATAAAATATAATCACTTCAGTTTTAAAGTCAAAAAATTATAATTGTAATAATTATTATCATTAACACTAACAGTATTATCATTACACTATTATTACCATTACTAACATCATTATCATCCATCATTTTCATTTTCATTTACCGATTTCGTTGCCAAGAATTACGATAACAAGTAACATACCCATTACCATATCTCAATGTTTGTAATAATTATTATTATTATGACGAAAATTCTCATTACAAAGATCACCACCATTACAATTGCCATTATCGAATCTGTATCAATTAATATTATAAGTATATATTAATATTCCAAATTATATTAACAATCTGGTACCACAACAATTACGATTACAAATACCATAAGCAATGGAATTTTTTACAGAATATGTACCGATGATTACTATCCGTACAAAAAAAATTTTCATTACAATTACCATTACCTTTATAAGTACTATTACCAAAACTACAAATAATCTCTTCAAACCTGTTACAACAATTACCATTACCATTAAAATAATTATTACTAAACCTGTATCAATAATTATGATCAGTACCACGACAATTACTTTTGCAAATTCCACTAGCACTATAAATACCATTACCGAGTCTTGCCAATAGTTATTAGCAATATAACGAAAATTATAACTTCCATTAACAAATACAATAGTAATTATCACTACAATAACCATTTTTATTGCAAATACCATAATGGAATCATACCAATAATTATAGCGAGTACCATGAAAATCACCATTACAATTATAAGTACATTACCGAATCTAACGAATAATTCATTTCAGTACCTTTGAAAATGTCATCACCGTTACCAAATCTGTACCAATAATAATTTTGATTACAACGAAAAAAATATTATCACCAATATCATGGAAGAGTCATACAAATAATAAATATAATTAGTACCCCAAAAATTACCATTCAAGATACTATTAACATTACAACATTCCTATCAATAATCACAACGATAATTACTTTTATAAATACAGTTACCAAATCTAAACCAAAATGACATATGAAATGAATACTTCAATAAAAACCTTTAACCTTCATTGCGCGAAAAATATATACATATGGCTGTGTGCCTAAACATCTACGTACAAATACACCATAAATATTTGGAAATCAATTTCTCTCCCTTGTGTCAGAATATTTGTTTTAAAAGCTCATATTTAATTCATATAAAAGCACTTTAAATATAGCACATTAGGTCTTGTCCTTGTGCAACACTTCCACGTGCACATACAACCCTACGCACACAAGCTCAAAAGCGAATCCTTTTACTCCTTACGCATTTACGCAATCACGCTTGTTTAAGCAATTTTTGATTAATGGCATTGCGAATAAAGTGACACTTTGAAAATTGGAAAAGAAATCAAGCAGTAAAATCAAGAAAAAAACGCGACTGCAGAAGTGCTCTTAGGCAAGACGCCAGGAAGAAAAGTAAACTAAATGTATAGATATGTAGGCAACTAAGTCTACAGAATAAGAAATCAAATATAAATAATAAAATAACAACAAATAAATGTAAGTTTGGTAAAAAGCAAAAGTGTGTAAATGCGGTTGAAAAAAAAATCAAATGGCATACTACATATGGCAATATAACTGACAAGTGGACAGGCTGGTAAAAACAAAACAACAAAAACTGGAAAAATCGTTAGCTTCGGTTGCACTGAAGCTATAATACCCTTCACAAATACAAAAGATTTCATAGAAGAACTTGATTTTTATCGATTAGTTTGTATGGCAGCTTTATGATATAGTGGTGCGATCTGAAGGATTTCTTTGTAGATTGTACCTAGATTGTATTAAGATAATAATCCGTGTCGAATTTCGTGAAGATATCTTGTCAAATAGAAAAGTTTTTCGTACAAGGACTTGACTTTGATCGATTAGTTTGTATGACAGCTATATGCGATACTGCTTCGATATCGGCGGTTCCGATAGATGAGCAGACTCTTGGGGAGAAAAGAACGTGTACAAAATCAGATCGATCAGATTTTATAAGGTATCCGATGCTTCCTTCTGGGTGTTACACACTTCGTGGTAAACTTAATATACTCTATTTAAGGTATAAAAAAAAAAACAATGACAAAAGCATAACATTAATGACGGCCGAAGAGTGGACATACGGAGTGAAAGTTAAAAGCAGCGACAGCTATGGAAAAGTGCAAAAAAGGATGCGTAGCTGTCGAGAGTGGTGGAAAAAGTGCTAAAATTTGTTAAGAACTGTAACACAAGCGCTTACGCCTAAAAGCAAGCCATGCACACAAGCATGTCCACAAAAAAGCTATACACTTACGGAAGAGCAGCTTCAAGGCATTTAGAAAAAGCACAGGAAACAACTGTGCTATTTTGTCTCCCACCGAATTCGTTTAAAGGAGAAATTGTGCAAAAACGCCGAAAACTAAACGAAAATGTAAACGGACGGCACACGAATTGAACCGGAAATCCTTATTGATCTACGATGCTTGCGCAAATAGCGTCGAACAGCAAAAAGAATTAAGCCGACAGTGTTGAAGCAATGTCCACACACATACATACATGTGCTGTTCGCCTGCTAGCACGTTCGTGTGCAAATAAATCAAAGAAAAACGCTGCCGCTTCTATAATAGTTGGGGGTGTTGGTTCCACTTACTGCTTCAGCTGCTTCAGTGAATTGGTCAGCTCAACACTTTATCCAGCGCCAGACAGCTGAGCGTTTGTAACTGCGCATTAGCCGTTACAACTACTTTCTAGGTGGCTCTACTTTTTCCATCCTTTTATCCACTTGACCTGATTGGGCGTCGCAAAAAAAAAAAAAAAACTCAGAAGCAAAAGCAACAGAAATGTTGGCTTGCGGGTAACAAAAATTTAACGTGTTTTAGTTCCCAATACGCTGTAAACTTGGAATTCGGCAATATTTTGTTGGCCATGCTGAAAAAGCGTAGAGAAATCGGCTTTCGGTACATGAAAATAGCGCTTGCAGTAGCTGAGGACTCAATACTTTAGCAGGGTTAACTCTTCTGTATATATTAACTCGCCGTTGATATTCGCAATATAGACATTTGTCTTGTGACAATATAATTGCTTATAGCACCCTCTTCTTTATCTATTTAGTTTAGGCGGGGTTCCAACAAAAAGTTTCGAACCCATCGACGAAGATTCTAAAAAGAGATTACTGCAACAGTAAGGTATGAGACCTCCTGTGTGATATATTACCAGTATATTATCGAACCTTTCAATGTTGTTTCGTTTCCACCTTAGATAAGATCATTTACTAGTTCCAAAGAGTGACGTAGAAGCAATGATTTCTATGTACCGGCTTTAATTTCATTCATTCTCAATTCGTTGTTTTGTTTTATGGATCCGATTAACCTTCAAACACAGACTCAGTCACAAAGCCATCGACGAGAATGAGGTAGGGGATTGCCAAGTGTGGTGCACGGCTCATCACATGATGACAAGCATGGCAAGGATGGTTAAATTCAATGAGATAATCTATCGGGATGCAAAACCGAGGTCCGAAGTGACCAGTGAAACAATGGAACATCTCTTGTACACTTGTTTCACACTAGCAAGGCAACGTCTAAAACACCCTGGAAGAGGTATCGTCAACCGCTTCCATCCTGAAAGATTACTACTTCTCATAAACTACGCAGCGTCACTTCAATTGGCATCGCGAACGACCAAAACTGGTCTATGTGTGGCGCACGAGTGCACGTGGCACTACCAGACTAACCTAATCTTTAGTCTAACAAAATTAAAGTATTATTCGTTGAGAGCTGACGTTTGAGCTAATATCACATTGGACCATATAACATGTTATCCTTGTTTCTTTAAATAATGTTGCTCTTTGCTGCTTGATTACCTTGAAATCATTTATTATAGTTGTATTTCTTACTCACCTTGTGACAACAATGGTTCTAATCGGCCGGCCCGAACAACTGCTGTAATAAATAAATTTGCCTCAACGACCTTTTGGCATTATTCTCATGTCGTTCTGACTATTTGATTGTTGTCTGTTTTATACCCAGCGACTGAATTGCACTCCCAGTTAGCGGAACTATGTGAATATCATTTTGATATTAACACTTCGCCCAAGCGTTTGTCGGGGAAAGTTTGACTTTTGGAAAGAACAATTGAAATTTCGAATTACTCTGTGTATTTTATTTTTACTGACTCTTTGGACCTTTCTACTGCTTATAAGTTAGATAAGGTATTACTCTACCATCTGCTTGCAAGTTTTATGTCACATATCTAAAAAATGTAACAGATATTAGAGTCGAAAGCTCGTAACCTCCGCTTTATTATAAAAAGTAGAGTTTTACAAGTAATTGATTTCTGAATTTTATGATCTTTCAACGCTTTTTTAGTTTTATGGGATTGTCGTGCATAACGAACTTGAATAATGTTTCATAACCTCAAATACTTTTAGGTTATGTTTCGCTCCAAAGCTTTCCACAACTTTCACGCTTGATATTAGATATTTCTGAAATACAAGGAATATCAGACATGAAAAATGTTTTATAAGCTCCACAATTTTAGGTTAAATTGCGCCTTAAATAAAGAGTCAATTCAATAGGGGAATGGAAAAAGTTTATTGGGTATAAAAAATCTTTTCCTTTTTTGCCTATTTTATGCATTCACTTCTTTCACTTGTTTGCGCATCTAATTTTATTGCCTGTATGAATTTTATTTGTTCCTCTTTCAATGGCCAGTCGTACTGCAAATTGCGTCTTGTCACTGACAATCGATAAATATTTGCACAGCACCCGCTACCATGAGCTTCTTTCCGCTCATCTCCATCGCATGTCCACTCAAGTCCAAGTGTGCGCTACGAAGGCTAAGTGGATGAATGTCAAAGCAGCTGCTACGCCCTGTAACTAAAAGTGTGACCGAAAAAAGCTCTCTCAGAGTGGCGTGTGAGTTCGTAGGCATGTTGAAGAGATTTGGCAAGGA